AAGGGGGTGCCCTGCAGCTGGGGGGGCTTTTGGGGGTGTGGGGGTCCAGGTGGGCCTTACAGAAGGGTCTGTAGGAGATGGGGGGTGAGGGGGGGTCCTTGGATCTGGGGACCTGTGGGGAATGGGGGGGGGCTGTATGAAATGTGGGGGTGCCCCTGCTGGGAACATCGGGGGGTGGCTGTGGGGGATTGGGGTGGCTATAGGGGATGGGGTCTACAGAGGGTGTGGGGGGCCCTTACAGCTTCGTGTAGGGCACCCCATTATATTTGGGGAGGGGCTTTTGGGGGGTCCTGGTGGGGTCTCCCCTCTGCTGTACCGTGGGGGGGCACTGGAGTGCTCAGAGTGGCCTTGGCCTCCTGATCCCTTCCCTGCTCCACAAATAATTCCAGAACATGGGGAAAAAAATTAATTTAACTCTTTTTGGTGAGGTTTAATCCTTGAAATTCCCCATTTCCTCAGCTTTTGAACCCATTTTTTTGTTCCTCATTTTAAATTCCTTCTGATTTAAAAATGGGTGAAAAATGGAAACTTGATATTTAAATTTATTTGGGTTTATTTTTTCCTTCGTTCTGACTCTTACAGGAGTTTCTTTACATCATGGAAAGGGTAATTTGGAATAATTTGGGATTTTAGGTGAGGGATAGCAATCCCATCCTGTCAGATCTATCAGGGAAGGATCCTTGTGCAGGTGCTGGGATCCCACCCAGACTCCAGCTGTAATTTTCTATGGAAATGATTTTTAGGGAATAATTTGAAGATTTTCAGCAATTTTAGGCAGCTGGGAGGGGGTGAGGGTGTTTTCCACCTCTGCTCCTCCTGGGATTGATAACTCCTTCTTGTTTTCCCTCCTCTAACACAGGATTCCCCATTTTTCCCCCCAAAAAACCCCCAAAACCCAGAATTTCACCCTGAACTGGTGCCTGGGTTGGGAATTCCTGTTCTTCCTTTTGGGACCCCAACGTTCCTTTCTGGAGGGGACAGATCTGACAAATCCCCCCCAAACCCAACCCCAAAGGGCTCCAGAGCATCCTGGGGGACTCCCAAATTCATCCTGGAAGTTTCCCAATAGGAATCAGGTCCAAAAATTCCCTTGCCCCACCTGGAGCTGGAAATTTCCCCAAATCCCAAACATTGCCATGGGTTATTTGGGATTTTTTTTTTTTTTTTTAGTTTTTTTGGGATTAAGGGGTGTGGAGCAGGCAAATCCCAGGGAGGCTC